ATGCTTTCTCCCTGAATATCTTTGGAACACTCATTTAACAGCTTGAATGTCTAGTATGTATGCAGAGAAAAGAACCTATTGGAACAGGAAAACAGAACCCTACTCATTGGCTGCTAAGAGCTTATCAAGTATTTCTTTCATTGAACATAATTTTGGTGTATCTAAAAAGCCACAGTAGCCCAGCTGGTATGGCTCAGTGGTTGAGCGTCGACCGGTGCACCAACAGGTCGCCAGTTCGATTCCCGGTCAGGGCACATGCCCAAGTTGTGGGCCAAATCCCCAGTGGGGGTAATGCAGGAAACGGCCAATTGATATTTCTATCTCTCTCTGTCTAAAATCAATTTAAAAAAATCTTTTTAAGTGATAAAATCGATAAAAAAAAAAAAACTCACAACATTTTAAATATAAATAAATACAAAGCCACTGCCAAACCCAAGGTAGAGATTTTCTCCTATGTTATATTCTGGGAGTTTATAGTCTTGCATTTTATATTTAGGTCTATAATCTATTTAGGTTGATGTTAGTGAAGGGTGTAAGGTCTGTGTCTAGGTTCATTTTTTGCATATAGATGTCCAGTTGTTCCAGCACGACTTGTTGATGAGACTATCTTTGCTCCACCTTTGCTTCTCCGTCAAAAATCAGTTGACTGTACTTATGAGGGTCTATATTTCTGGGCTCTCTAGTCTGTTTCACTGATCTATTTGTCTATTATTTTGCCAATTACACTGCCTTGATTATTGTAGCTTTAGAGTAACTTGAAATTGAGCACCAGTCCTCCAACTTTGTTCTCCTTCCATATTGAATTGGTTCTTCTTGGCCTCTCCAAATGAAATTCAGAATGTTTGTTGATATCCACAAACTAACTTGCTGGGATTTTAATGGGATTGCATTAAATCTTGACAAAATTGCATCTTACTATCCATAAACATGGAGTATCTCTCCATTTATTTAATTCTTTGACTTCTTTCCTCAGAGTTTTATAGTTTTCCTCATATAGATATTATACATTTATGTTGGATTTATACCTAAGTATTTCATTTGCGGTGCTAATGTAAACAGTAATGTGTTTTTAATTTCAAATTCCTCTTGCTCATTGCTAGTATACAGGAAAATGGTTGACTTATGTAGTCTTGTATTATGCAACCTTGTTCTGATCACTTAGGAGTTTGTCAATTCTTTCAGATTTTCTACATAGATGACCATGTCATCTGCAAAGAGTTTTATTTCTTCCTTACCATCAGCATGCCTTTTATTTCCTTTTCTTGTCTTAAGGCATTAACTAGGACTTCCAGTACGATATTGAAAAGGAGTGGTGAGAGAGAACATCCTTGCTTTGTTCTTGATCTTAGTAGAAACGCTTCTTCTAGTTTCTTACAATTATGTATGATACCACTATAGGATTTTTGTAAATGTTCTTTATCAGGTTGACGCCCTGGCCAGTTTGGCTCAGCGGTTAGAGCGTCGGCCTGCGGTCCTGAGAGACCGGGTTCGGTTCCCGCTAAGGGCGCGTACCTCGGTTGCAGTCTGTCCCCGGCCCTGGTCGGTAGTGCGGGTGGCAGCCACTCGATGTGTTCCTTTCACATCGATGTTTCTCTCTCTCTCTCTCTGTTCTCTCTCCCCCTCCCACTCTACCTGAACAAAAAAAAAAAATAGAATGTTCCAGTCTATTCAGTCTGATGAGACTTTTCACCATGAGTGTTGGATTTTGTCAAATGCTTTTTCTGCATCTATTGCTATAATCATGTGGCTTTTCTTTAGCCTGTTGATGTGATGCATTACATTAACTGGTTTTCAAGTTTTGAACCAGCCTTGCATACCTGGAATAAATTCTACTTGGTTGCAGTGTATAATTCTTCTCTATACATTTTCTGATTCAATTTGCTAATATTTAGAGAATTTTTGCATCTGTGTTCATGAGAGATATATTGGTCTGTATGAAGTTTCCATCTCTCTCCCTTCCTTTCTCTCTCAAGTCAATAAAGAAAAAATAAATTTAAAAAAACACAAAACTTTCCAGCTGTTTTTGCAGACCAGTAGAATCTGTTTAATTCTACTATATAAGATTAAATAACCGTTCCTTGAAATTCCTGAGATAATTTCCTCCCAGATATCTCTTCTGATTTTTGAATTTTCCTCATATCCTTTGTCTCAATCTTCATTCTTATAAAAACGACCTTACTCTAGGTCTACAAAATGCTTCTGCTATAATCATTGCAGCACTCACTGTCCCAGAACCAAGCGCACCAGAGGAGGGAATAAATGCTGGAGCTACTCTCCCTGCATGAGTCATTTTCTCCAAAGATTTTCCAGACTTCCATGCAGGAACTAAACTCTGAGAATGCGCCCACTTAACGGAAACAATCATTGGTTCATTTCTGTTATAATTAAATATACTTATATTCCTAATAGTATATGTATCTCACCAGGGATTACTGATGTCAACACCAGGCTTTCATCCACCTCCTAAACCTAAACACATCTGTATAAAATAATGAAAAAGTGCTCACTCAAAGCCATTTTCATGTAGTGGTTTTTTGTTTTTTAATTTTTATTGTTGATCATGTCATGTTTTCTTGAGAAGGCTAACCAGAGACTTCCAAAATAAAGCTGATATTGGCTACTCAGGAGGACTCTCGAAAGAAATAACTGACTCTCTTTATGTACACTGTGCAAGACTACCTACTCCAATGGCCAAGAATAACACAACTAGAAGAAGTGGTTCAAATTTTGAATCACTCTCTGCTGTGGGAGCCCAACAAACCAGTTTACATTCACTGCCCAGGATGATCATAAACAATCACATAGTATTTTATTTCCTCTCAGTAAGTCAAGGGGCAATTTGTATTTAATTAACGCTTCCTGTTGTAGCTTTATAGAGAAAACTGGACACACGAAAAGTCTTTGACTAGTCTAAAGAAAATTAGAATAGACCTAGCTGGACTTTGGGACATGTTTCTGTAGCTAGGTTCCTGGCTTTGCATTCCAGTAAAATGAACAATCATTCTGGCCTGGCCAGTTTGGCTCAGCAGTTAGAGCGTCGGCCTGTGGACCAGACAGTCCTGGGTTCGGTTCCTACTAAGGGCACATACCTCAGTTGTCCCTGGCCCCAGTTGGGGTCATGTGGGTGACAACCACTCAATGTGTCTCTCTCACATCAATGTTTCTCTCTCTCTCTCTTCTTCCTTCCCCTGTCCCTCCTGCTCTATCTGAGGATAAATGCAAAAATGTCCTTAGGTGAGGATAAAACATAATAATCATTCCACTTCTACTAATTTACTTACAGTTGGTTGATGCATTCTGTGTAATCTTAAACACGCCTGTGTAGCCACTGTCAAGCCACATCAATGATCAACCAGTATTAGCATGAAAATTTGAAACTAAGACTACCACTGAATACCTGATACACAATCACAACCCAGTAAATAACAATACAAATCTGAATTGATCATAACTCCAGATGATAATGGTCTATCCTTGAATTTAGGCTGAAGAGAATTTAGGCTGAAGAAAGACCAGAAGGGGACAGAGAATTGAAAAATAAAGTACACTGAAAGAGAAACTACAATTTGCAGAACTATACAACTTACAAAATATGTAAGTCTACCAAACTTGAACAACACAAAAGTAACCTACCTCACACTCTTAACACCAGCTCAATCAGATGCATGTTTCAAAACTACAAACTGATCTAACAATAATTCTGCATAGATTCAGGTGTTCTTAAAGACAGTGCCTATACCAGCAATTCTCTACTTTCCAAATTTTCACCAATGCCTGCCAAGAAAATCCAAAACAAACTCCAGGCCCCAAACTCCTATATTTACCCTTCCTTTGGAGACACCACACAATTCTTCTTGATATATACTCCTTTGGTACAGCAAGCTAAAACCTAGCTGTGATGATAGATGAGATCCTGCTGGGTTTTGGTCAATGGGAGTTACCAGCGTAAATGAATCAAGAGTTCCCTTTTGAATGAGACACAACAGCTTTATCTTCATACTCAAGATAATGAATCCTATATTCTTTACACAAATCCTAACAATATTAAATAAAACCTCATCAGTATTAATCATGGCAATTAAAAAAAAATTTTTTTTTTCCTTTATTGATTTTGGAGAGAGGAAAGGAGAGGGAGAGACAGAAACATCGATGAGAGAGAACATCGACTGGCTGCCTCTTGCATGTCCCCCCAACTGGGGATTTGGCCCACAACCTGAGCATGGGTCCTGACCGGGAATCGAACTGGCAACCTCTTGGTGCATGAGTTGATGCTCAACCGCTGAGCCACACTGGCCGGACAATCATGGCAATTTTGTTAAATAAATATAAATGTATAAATTTGCAGATATAAAAACTGACAGCCACCTATATTAACTGAAGAAAACCTGTAATCTTAAACAATACTAACTGAAAATTATTTCTTCGTATGTAAAAGTATATATTTAATGTTTTCAAATCCCCACCCCCAATTTTGTTTTTTGTTTTTGGTATGTGCCCCTAGCAGGAACCGAATCCGGGACTCTTTGGTCCGCAGGCTGACGCTCCAACCGCTGAGCCAAACCGGCCAGGGACCCCCAACTTTGATATAGTTGATTTTAAGTTAACTATTCTAACAAATTAGAATAAAAATAAATCAGATGATCAATGCAATGGCATTGGGGGATACTATGGCTGTGAATATGCTTTTTTTTTTTCTTTATTGATTTTAGAGGGAGATACAGAAACATTGACTGGCCACACCTACATGCCCCTCACTGGGGATTTGGCCCACAACCTGGACATGTGCCCTGACCAGGAATCAAACTGGTGACCTCTTGGTTTGTGGGTCGGCACTCAACCACTGAGCCACACCAGCCGGGCTATACTTTATTTCTAAGTAAAAAAAAAAAAAAAATCATAGCCAAAACAAAATGTTTTACCTCTGAATAACATTTTAAGCTTAAAGGGAAAAAGTCATTAATGAGAAACATATTTTCATTTTTCAATGTCTTTAATTTTTTTATAAAGATTTTAATTAAGCTTCACAGTTACTAAGCAGTTTTTAAACTTAGGTTTCATGATTCTTTTGATTTCATGCTTTTAAATGGAGTCATTTATCTTCAAAACATGACAAATTTAAAAGTCCATTACAAATTATTTTATTCAAATTATGTTTTCCAAAAGAGAGGGTTCTGTGCTAGTCGTCTCTGAAAGTTTTCATACCTATAAAAGAAAAAACATATTTACAAGAAAATTAAAATAGAATATTTCATAATTTGCCAAATGACTTATCAAAAAGCTAACAGTTTTACATGTCATTTCTAAAAAGCCAAGATAAAAAGCTAATATGTTAATCTGAAAGTTTAACTATTAATTTATAAAACAATAGCAATCATAAAGATTTAAGTATAACTGGCTTCTATCAAAAAGCACAAACCATATTAAATTGTATTGTCTATCTTCTGCAAATCTGAAAGCTAGAGGGACTTAAGGGAGGATAGAAATCAAATCTAACTTCTCTTTCCTCATTTCAGATAAGTAGATGAGAGTAATTGTTCAAGGTCATATAGCTGCTCTGTAACAAAGCTCAAACCTAACAAAGCTCAAACATTTCAGTGCTTTCCACATTACAGCATGCTATCACTTCTCAATGAACTCTCCTTATGTGTTCCCCCCCACTGGAATGCTCAAAGTGAAAAGAAATACCTAGAAAACAGAAACATGGGGAGTTGGGGAAATATATTTATTAATCATTCATGTACAGGATGCAGTATAAACCACCCTGATGCCCCATACATATTTATTTTAGGTCAAGACTTTCTAAACATAAAAAAGTTTTGCTTGATATTTCAAGCCTCAAGTATGGTACTTATAATTCAAAATATAAAAAAATTTATACTCCTTAATTGTGGTCTCTAAAACACAGGCAACTGTATTTTCCTGTCTTTATAAATTCAAAATGGCTATTATATAAGAATTTTTAGAGTAAGAGCTATTCCTAATATAAATTCTATAGCACATACTTTGTAATGGCATGCAAATGTTAATGTATGATGTCCACAATAAAAGAATAAGTTTAAATGTCAAAGAAAAAATACATTCACAGGCAAAAAATATATATGGTTACTAAAATCCTTAATATTAGAGATAGAAAATGCCCCATACCATTTCAGAACCACATTTGCTGGAATGAACATTTCAGATGGATTTGGTGTCATCTGGGCCTGAGAGATAGCAAATGATGAAGCAAAATTGTAGAAGTTGTCCAACATCTTTTGTGTGAACTGAAAAGTTAATAATGAATATATTAGTGTGTTACTCTACATAGTCCACTTGGACCTTATTATTTTAAATTTAAGATGTCCCCATATTAACTCAGTTTTAAGGACTGAGTTCTAAGACAGTCTAATGCTGAAAGTTAAGGGAGGTCATAAAGTGACATTACGGCACAAAATCATAACAATCTGCCTTTAGTACTCTCTTTACATCTCAAAAAATTTCTGTTATCAAATATTTTATGTTCCTGACATTCATTTTTGGGATAAAAAACAAGAAAAATGCTTTTCCTTCAAAATATTTTCTTTTATCTCCACCTCTATATCAATTGTGCTTTATCTCCTCAAATATTATCCTCCTCAAACCAACCTATTTTCTCAGTAACCACGTCAAAAAAGTCTTTTTCTTGCCAGAAAGATAAAACTTAAATATAATAAAGGAACACTATTCCATGTCCTACATTTCCTGACCTGTTTCTTCTCATTGACCCTCAAATGGGCAAACCCACTAACATCCTTCACGTCTGGGTTTAAGCACTAAGCCTAAAAGTAAATGAACTACGAAAGATATACTACCTTCAATTCACTCAAAAATAATCTTCCCAACATTGCTTTCTCAGAAACACAAAACTAGCCAATAAAGCTCCTGCTGTCTCTCTTCTAAGGCTCCTGCTACCCCTTTCCCATACGAAAGGAAATATCTTATTAGAATTTTTGTTTGTTTAATAGTATCAAGATAATTTAATCCAAGAGAATCTACCATTAAGGTACTTGAATTAATATTAGAGTCCACTAAGATCACTAAAAGATCAGTATTGGTGTGTGTGGGGGGGGGGGAGGCACCTGATCAACAGCAACCCTCCACACTAGCAACAAAAATTTTTTAATGTTAACTTTAAAATAATCCAATTCAGAATAGAAATAAAGTCTTTAAAATACCTACCAAAAAAAAAGGAGCTAACAAGCTCATAATAAGACTAGTGTAAAATATTCTACAACTCTCTTGGGGAAAAAAAGAAGGGAAGAAAAGAGCCTATATACCATGTTGTGGAAAGATAAAACATGTTCAGAGATGGGAAGATAACATAATTAGTAATGGCAGCAATTCTCCCCAAATCAAATCTATAAATTCAATGTTATTTCCAACTAAATTTCAACAAGACTTTTCATGGAACTCAACAAGATGATACTAAAATTATTGTGAAGACTATTTAAGCCTATTTTGATGATTAGAAGGGACTTGGCCTACTAAACATTAGGACTTTTACTGACAAAGGGTCAGGCAGATAAACTGAAATAAAAGAGAGAGCCAAGAAACAAACCTAAGCATATGTGACAACACGATATATAACAATGATGCTATTATTTAGAGTAAAAATAGAAAAACAAAAACTGGACTAGCCATTTAATGGGACTAGGACAACTATTTTTACATAGAGGAAAATGTATTTACCTTCCCATACCATCCATACACAAACACAATTCAAAACGTAAAACATGAAAGCTTTAAGAATTATAACAGAAGAATTATAGCAATAACATCTCCACATTTATCAGGGTAGAAAAAAATTTCTCAAATACAAAAAAAAATTTACAACAAAAACTGATAAATCTGTCTACATAAAAATATATTATGTCTGTTTGGAAAAGAAACTATAAAATGTATTAAAAGATAAGCAACATGCTAGAAGAAATTTGCAACAATATAACAAAATATTATTATCCTGAACACATAAAGGCCAAATCTAAGAAACACTTAAAAAGTGCCCACAAATAACAACAGAAAATTGAGCAAAATATATAAATATTCAATTCTTATAAAAGAAAATACAAATGCAGACCAACTTCACTCGCAGGCAAGAAATACACACCAAAACAATAGTTATATTCTAATTTCACCCATCAGTTGGGTAAAAAATTTTGAGGTCTAATAAATATTAGTGAGAATGTAAAACATTTATCAATATGGAAATTAAAAAACCAACTATGGCTCATTCATTCAAAGGCATACTATACAACAAATAAAAACAAACTAGATGTCTTCCATGTATTAACACAGATTAATTTTTAAAATAATGTTAATGTTGAGTGAACAATAATAACAAGTTGTAAAAGTCTGTGCAGGCCCTGGCCAGTTTGGCTCAGCGGTTAGAGCGTCGGCCTGCGGTCTGGAGACACCAGGGTTCGGTTCCTGCTAAGGGCACGTACCTCGGTTGCAGTTTGTCCCCGGCCCTGATTGGGTAGTGTGTGTGGGTGGCGACCACTCGATGTGTCCCTTTTGCATCGATGTTTCTTTCTTTCTCTCTCTCTCTCTCTCTCCCTTTCACTCTATCTGAACAAAATATCAAAAATGTCCTCGGGTGAGGATAAAAAAAAAAAGTCAGTGCAGTATAACATTTACATACATTTTAAAAATATATACAAGAGTAAATCAACAAGAAGAAAAAACAGAGGAGCTAGAAAACAATGGATTCAACACAGAAGATCAATAAAAGGAATTTCTACAGTAATGGTGAAAGAAAATTATACCTTGACAACAGATACACAAGCGATGAATAGTCAACAGTAGAACAAAACAAAAACAGAGTTCCAAAAATCCTGTTTCTAAGACAAATTTTAAATTGCTACATTTAAATGTACGGAATGGGTCCAGCTGGTGTGGCTTAGTGGACTGAGTGTTGTCCCATGGACTGAGAGGTTCCAGTTCAATTCCCGGTCAGGGACACATGTTCGGAATGTGGGCTCGATCCCCGATGGGGGACATGCAGGAGGCAGCTGATTGATGTTTCTCTCTCTCGCTCGCTCTAAAAAATCAATAAAAACATATTTAACAAAATACTTGGCAGAGTTTGGACATAAAGTAGATACAAAAATAGAAATCCATGAAAGGAAAAAATACAGCAATTATTGACCAGGAAAAATGAAGTTACAAAAAAAAGGTAATCATAGCACTACACATGGCTCAGTTCTGAAAAATATCTAATCATAATATTGAAAATCCTGAATATTAATTTAACAAAAATCTGTATTAGAAAAGTAGAGAGAAAAGATGTCCGTGTATATATATATATCAAGACGCAGAGAGCAAAATCATGTAAGTTGATGGAAACACCTATAACAAAAGTTAATAAAGAACAGATTAAGGCCCTGGCCAGTTTGGCTCAGCGGTTAGAGCGTTGGCCTTGTGGTCCGGAGAGAACCGGGTTCGGTTCCCACTAAGGGCACGTACCTTGGTTGCAGTTTGTCCCCGGCCCTGGTTGGGTCGTGTGGGTGGCAACCACTCGATGTGTCGCTTTCACGTCGATGTTTCTCTCTCTCTCTCTCTCCCTCTCACTCTATCTGAACAAAATATCAAAAAAATGTCCTCGGGTGAGGATAAAAAACAAACAAACAAACAAAAAGAACAGATTAAGTTTTTCTGACATATTGAAGAAAAGATAGAAAAAATAGGTGAGCCCTGGCCAGTTTGGCTCAGCAGTTGAGCGTCAGCCTGCGGACCAGAGAGTACCGGTTCAGTTCCCACTAGGGGCAAGTACCACCAACAAAAAAAAAAAAGAAAAGAAAAGAAAACATAGGTGAAAAAAATAAGGGGGGGAAGTTAAAGTGATTGCTTCTGAGGAGCAGAGTAAGAGCAGAATCTAGGAGGTTTAACAGAGGACAGCTGTTTTACATGTTACAACTATTTGACTTTTCAAACTATGTACTTGTACTACTGATAAAAATAAAATGAGGTGTTACCTCAAAAAATTAAAAATTGAACTACCATTTGACCCAGTGATCCCGCTTCTAGGAATATACCCTAAGAAGCCTGAAACACCAATCAGGAAGAATATATGTACCCCCATGTTCATAGCAGCACTATTTACAATAGATAAGATCTGGAAACAACCCAAGTGTCCATCAGTAGACAAATGGATAAAAAAGCTGTGGTACATATACACAATGGAGTACTATGCAGCTGTAAGAAAGAAAGATCTCTTATCCTTCGAGACGACATGGAGGGACCTGGAAAGTATTATCCTAAGTGAAATAAGCCAAGCAGAAAAAGACAAATACCACATGATCTCACTTATATACGGAATATAATGAACATAACAGTCTGAGGAATACGGTAGACCCAGAAACATGGAAGTAGGGCACAGACTGACATCCCTCAGAAGAGGGGGTGGGGGAGTGGGAAGAGATAAACCACAGAACTTATATGCATGTATGCATGACCAATGGACATGGACAACTAAGCCGGGGACGGGAGGTGGGGTGGGGTGGGGAGGGGGGTGCCAATGGGGTAAAAAAGGAGAAATATCTGTAACAAAAAAATAAATAAATAATTTAAATAAATAAATAAATAAAATGAGAATAACTTGAGTATAAATTAGACAAAGTAAAAATCCAGGTGGAAGTCTTCATCTATATCCCACTATAAAGAGAGCTCTATAATGACAGGTCTTATTTTGTCTACCCATTTTTATTTATTTGTGCTTAGAAAATGCCTGGTACACAATAAATATTTATGGAATGTACTTCACTGTATACTTAATCTATTTCATAATACAATGTTTAATAAAAAATACATATGTGCACTCAGTGGTTAGAGTGTCAGCTGGAAGACCAAAGGGTCCCAGGTTTGATTCCCAGTCAAGGGCATGTAAATGGGTTACAGGTTCATCTCACCCCAGTTGGGGTTGTTCAGGAAGTAAACAACTGATATGTCTCTCACACTGATGTTTCTCTCTCTCTTTCCCTCCTCCCTCCCTTTCACTCTATCTAAAAAAATCAATGGCCCGGCCAGAGTGTCTCAGTGGATTAAGCATTACCCATGGACTGAGAGGTCGTGGTTTGATTCCCGGTCAGGGCACATGCCCAGGTTGTGGGCTCGATAATAATAAATGAATTAAAATATATTTTAAAATAATAATAAATCAATGGAAAAATATTCTCAGGTGAGGATTAACAACAACAAAGCAAAACAAAAAAATACAAATGCCTGCCCTGGCCAGTTTGGCTCAGCGGTTAGAGCATCGGCCTGTGGTCCAGGGAGACCCGGGTTCAGTTCCTGCTAAGGGCACATACCTCGGTTGCAGTTTGTCCCCGGCCCTGGTTGGGTCGTGCGGGTGGCAACCACTCGATGTGTCCCTTTCACGTCACTGTTTCTCTCTTTCTCTCTCCCTCCCACTCTGTCTGAACAAAATATAGAAAAGTGTCCTTGGGTGAGGATTAAAAAAAATACAAATGCTTTATAAAAAGCTCAAATACAGTAGTCCCATCTTACAGGGGATAAGTTCCAAGACCCCCAGTGGAGACCTGAAACTGCAGATAGTATTGAACCCTATATAGACTATGTTTTTTCCTATACACACATATTTGATAAAGTTTAATTCAAAAATTAGGCAATTTCACAAATAGAATATTCATTCTTACCATAGATCTTAGCAACCTCAGCATGTGATTTTTTTCTGTCCTTATTAAATTGAGAACTTTCACCATTTCACTTAAAAGAAGCACTGTATGACTTCCCTTTGGCATATCCAAATTTCTGGCATCATTACTCTTGCACTCTGGGGCATTACGTAAAATAAGGATTACTGAAACACAAGCACTGGGATGCTGAGTCAATCTGATAACCAAGACAGCAATATACAGCATGGATAAGCTGCTCGACAAAGGGATGATTCATGTCCCGAGAGAGACAAAATGGAACAGTGAGAGATTTCCTCATGCTATTTTAAATTTATGAACTTTTTTTTCCTGAAATTTCCCATTTAATATTTTTAAGCCAAAGCTGACTGAAGGTAAATGAAACTGTGGAAAACAAAACTACAGATAAGGAGGACTACTTATTTTATAAATATAGAGAGTAAAATGTCTTCTTGCCCCTCTCCAGGGATAAAATCATTTTAGTGTCCATTTTCCAAACATTTTTCGACTACAGTCTATATGAGACACTTTAAGTGACATTTTAAAACTTTTTTTTCAGCATAGTTTATTAAACAAAATTTTTTTTTAATTTAAGATTCAGACTCTTAATTAAAGCCCATTCTCAAGAGATCATATGACAAGCCTGACTTCAAATTCATGGCCACAAACCTCAAAAGTGTGCTGCCCAGCAAACTCATAAGGTTCCCCTAGTCCACTTACTCCCTCTCCTAGAGGACTAATTTAATAATCTGTTTAATTTATATTTCCAATATTTCCTTTACCTTCAGTCTTAGCTGATGACCTTGCTTCCTATTTCACTGAGCAAAGAGGAAAAAAAATCAAGAGAGAACTTGTACAAGTTCTCACCATATTTACCAACATACTACATCGGTACCCACATATCCATTACTATAAATACTGGCTATTATCCTCACTAAACTGAACCTCTCCAAATGTGCTCCCATTTCCTACTCAAGGACACCACTTCTGCAATTCTCTCTGCTCTCCTGCATCATCAGTTTTTCTCTCTCTAATGCTTCATTCCTATCAAACATGATGTAGTATTTCACATGAAAGACAAGAAAAAAAATCCTTGTTCCCACAGCCCTCTCAATCAACCAAACCATTATCTGTTGTCCTTTATAACAACACCCTCAAGAGTCACTCATTTTCACTGTTTCTATTTCTTCCTCTTCAATTCACTCAAACTCACTCTAAACTCTCCCTCCAACTCTATGACTTGACTTCTACCTGCTGAATCTTATGGTTATTTCTTAGTCCTGACCTTACTTGACCCACCAGCAGTGTGATACTATTGATCACTTTTTCCTTCTTAAAAAAATCTTTTGCCCAGCTGGTGTGGCTCGGCGGTCGAGCGTCAACCCATGCACCAAGAGGTCACCGGTTTGATTCCCAAGTTGTGGGTCTGATCCCCAGTGGGGTGGTATGCAGAAAGTAGCCAATCGATATTCTCTATCATCGATGTTTCTATCTCTCTCTCCCTCAATAAAGAAAAAATAAAATGAAATAAAACAAACAAAAAAAAAAACAGTCTTCATTTGGCTTCTAAAACACCACTCTTTGGGCCTCCTCCTACTTCAGGCTGCTCCTTTTCTTTTGTTTCTCATCATCTCTGAAGCTTCCCAACTTTGAAATGGCCCTGAGCTGCAGTCACTGGCCAACTTTTCTATTTATAGTTACTTCTCTAGTGATCACACCTGCTCTGCAACTTTAAATGCCATCTCTGTACTGATGAGTCCCAAATGTTGATCTCTATCCCAGACCTCTCTCTGAACTCTAGACTTGTCATCTGCGCAGTTGGATATCTAACAGACATCCCAAACATAGTACGGCCAAAATCCAATTCCTGATTCCACTCCCAGCCCATACTTGTTCTTTTCATAGTATTTCTGTGTTCCATTCCTCAAGCCAACGTCTTTGGGGCAATAATTTAATGTTTCCCTATACTTAGACCTCTCATGTGACCCCTACCATGAAACACTACTGGCTCTATCTTCAAATTATCTCCAGAAATCAACTACTTTTCTTTTCTTCTTCTTCTTTTTTTATCCTCACCCAAGGACATTTTTCCATTTTTTGCACAGATAGAGTGGGAGGGAGAGAGAGGAAGAGAGAGAGAGAGAGAGAGAGAGAAACATCGACGTGAAAGGGACACATCGAGTGGCTGCCACCCACACCACCAACCAGGGCCGGGGACAAACGGCAACCAAGGTACGTGCCCTTAGTGGGAACTGAACCCGGGTCTCTCTGGACCGCAGGCCGATGCTCTAACCGCTGAGCCAAACCGGCCAGGGCGAACTACTTTTCAACACCTCCACTTCCACTACCCCCTGGTTCTAGTCATTATGGTCTTTCATATCAATTTTTCACAAGAGCTTCCTAACTGATCTTCCTCCTTGCATCTTTGCCTCACTACAGTTTCCAACGATGCAAAAGTGATCCTTTAAAAATGTAAGTTAGGTCATATTACTCTTCTGCTCAAAATTGTCTTTCTTATATTTTCTCCTCCAAACAGAATATAAGCCAAAGCCCTTACAAAAGGTAATGAGGTCCCATATGATTTATCCTCCAGCCACCTCCGTCATAATCTCCAACCTCATCTTCCATGTCTCACTTTTGCTCACATTACTCTAGTAACAAGGACCTTCATGTTATTTCTCAAACATAACAGATTTCTACCTCAGGGCCTTTGTACAAGCTATACCTCTGCCTAGATCCTCCTCCCCTTTGTCATACAGAGGTTAAGTCAACTCATAGCCCTGGCCGGTTTGGCCCAGCGGTTGGAGCGTCGACCTGCGGTCCAGAGAGACCCAGGTTTGGTTTCCGCTAAGGGCACGTACCTCGGTTGCAGTTTGTCCCCGCCCCTGGTTGGTGGTGTGGGTGGCAGCCACTCAATGTGTCCCTTTCACATCAATGTTTCTCTCTCTCTCCCTCTCTCTCCCTCCCACTCTATCTGAATAAAAAATGGAAAAATGTCCTCGGGTGAGGATAAAAAAAAAGTCAACTCATAGAATTCTACCCCTTTAAGTTCTGTGAGGACAAGGATCTTGCTTATCAGGTTCACAACTGTATACCCACAATCTAGCATACTAATTGTGAGAGGAAAAGAGAAAAACTTATAATTAAGCCTATTTTTATCACTATAAATCATGTCTCATAAAAGCACTTACAAATTTTAAAATACCTATAGAGCAGTGATTCTCAACCTTCCTAATGCCACGACCCTTTAATACAGTTCCTCATGTTGTGGTGACCCCCAACCATAAAATTATTTTTGTTGCTACTTCATAACTGTAATTTTGCTACTGTTATAACTTAGGTGACCCCTGTGAAAGGGTCATTTGACCCCTAAAGGGGTCACGACACACAGGTTGAGAACCACTGCTATAGAGGAAGCAGACAAACTAAAAATACCCATGGAAGCCAATAACATATGTCATATACAGGATGGAGCAAAAGCAGGTTTACAATTGTTCATATGGAAAAGAACACAATAATCAATAAATAATAATACAAGAATAAACTGTGCTTTGCATACTCACAACAATAAACCTACTTTGCCCCACTCTGTATGTTTATCTTCATTTTTATGTCTTCTACCATCAGGCTAATTTTTAAAGTATAGAATATCATTTAATTATTTTAGAAAATAATAAAATGTGCATTGCAGTACCTGGGTGAATGAATCAACTGAGGATACAGCAGCATTACCTACAGGAGTCTGCTGAGCCAGACTGTCCAATAATTCCACTGAAATTCCAATCTGAGCAACAGATGGAGTTCGGACAATATTCATGGCTCCGAAAGGGTGTTGGCTTCCTTCTCCTGAAAGAAATAAACAAGTGCCACATATTTCAAGTTTAACTTGTATCCCATTCAAATTCCTTTGTAAATATATAAAGAGCATCTACATGCTCAAAAAAGTTCTGCCACGTGAAAGTTTGTCTCTTTTCAGATAAATGTAAAAAGCTACTTAGCTTTTACCTTGGAAACAAAAAATAAGAAAACTAAAATATTCCCTAACAGATAAACAGCTGTTACTTTTCTAAAACTTATTAAAATTACTGCAGCTTATTGAAATTATTTTATTTTGTTAAAATATTGTGATTACATTTCCATTAGAAATAAACAGAATGAGAGAAAAAAAATGAATGAGCATTAATTAGATAAACAATTCTCAATGCTAACTCTGAGGAAATATTTTTAAAGAGTTTAAGAATTAGTTTTAACATTTGCTGATTATTCCATTAAATTGCCATTATTACTAATAAATAACATGGCATATTTTACTAAATGTCATGATCACCCCACTCAATACCTGATAATCTGTTATCAAATAGACAACAAAGAAATTTACGGCTTATTCATGAAAGATGTTTAATAAAATGTATAGTATACTATTGTTAGGTAGAATGTTCTATGCAAGTCTTTTAGGTCCAGTTGGCTTATAGTGTTGTTCAAGTCTTCTATTTCCTTAATAATCTTCTATTTAGTTGTTCTATGCATTACTGAAAGTAGGGTATTGAAGTTTCCAACTATTTAATGCTTATCTGTTTCTCCCTAATTCTGTCAGTTTTTGCTTCATGTATTTTATTGCTCTGTTAGATACATACAATTTTATAATTGTTAGATCTTTTCTATGGATTGAACCTTTTATCATTATATAATATCCTTCTTGTAACTCCCATAACAATTTTTGTCTTAAGACTTTTTAGGCTTATTTTAGTACAGCCACACCAGCTCCCTTTTGGCTTCTGTTTGCATATATCTTTTCTTAATACTTTACTTTCACAATAATATGTATCCTTAAATTAATAGATAGATCATGTTTATTTATGCAGTCTGCAAATCACTACCTTTTAATTGGAAAGTTTAATTTTATGTTAAATAGATACTTACTAGTATACTATTTTATTTTATTTTTTTAAATCCTCACTCAAGGATATTATTCCATTGATTTTGTTAGACAGAGTGAGGGTAGGGAGGGAGAAAATGAAACATCAATGTGAGAGAGACACATCGATTGGTTGCCTCCCAGACGACCCCAACCCGGGCTGGGATCAAACCCAAGCCTCTTTGGTCCTCGGGCCAATGCTCAAATGGCTGAGCCAAACTGGCCAGAACTATTATATTAAGGTGACACTGGTTCACAAAATCATACAGGTTTCATGGGTACAACTCAAAAAAATGTCACCTGAACACTATATTCTGCGGCCATCTACCAAAGCAACATTTAGGTGCAGTTGGCTTATAGTGTTGTTCAAGTCTTCTATTTCCTAGACATTTATCTACCCCCTTTGCCCACCTCTACTTACCCCCACCCTCCTTTCTCCCTGGCTATCACCACACTATAGTCCGTGTCTATGTTATATACGTGTTTTTCTGCTTAATCCCTTCACCTGCTTTCATCCAGCCTCCCATACCACCTCTCCTCTGACAGCTGTCACTCTCTTCCATTTATCCATGCCTCTGTTTCTATTTTGTCAGTTTATTTTGTTCATTATATTCCACATATAAGTAAGACCAAAAGGTATTTGTTTTTTTCTGACTGGCTTATATCACTTAGCATAATAATCTCTAAATCCATCCATGCTGTAGTAAAAGATAAGATTACCTTCTTTTTCACCACCAAATAGTATTCCATTGTGTATATGTACCACAGCTTTTTTTATCCACTCATCTACTGATGGGCACACTTGGGCTATTTCCAGATCTTGGCTATTATAAATTATGCTGCAATGAACATATGGATGCATATATTATTTCAAATTATTGTTTCAGGTTTCTTCAAATATATTCCCAGAAGAGGGATCACTGGGTCAAAAGGCAGTTTCACTGTTAATTTTTTCAGGAAACTCCATACTGTTTTCCACATTCGCATTCTCACTGACAGTGCACAAGGGTTCCCTTTTCTCCACATCCTTGCCAGCACTTGTTTGTTTGTTTACTTCTGGTTCTTTTTCTGGCAACTGCATTGTCAAAATGCAATACTTGAAACTTGGAAACTTTGAAACTTTTAAGGGCTCATTCGTTGAAGAAAGGATGGCCATCTTCTCTGACTCATAATTTGCAAAACATTGTCACTTTTAGATTAATAAACATTATTTAAAATAATCATCAACTGCCCTGGCCAGTTTGGCTCAGCAGTTAGAGCGTCGGCCTGCGGTCCGGAGAGACCTGGGTTCGGTTTCCGCTAAGGGCACGTACCTCGATTGCAGTTTGTCCCCGGCCATGGTTGGGTCGTGTGGGTGGCAACCACTCAATGTGTCTCTTTCACGTCAATGTTTCTCTCTCTCTCTCCCTTCCACTATATCTGAACAAAATATCAAAAAATGTCCTCGAGTGAGGATTAAAACAAACAAACAAAAAAATCATCAACTAATTTTTTACTTCTACATCAAATGCCTTTGTATAAATACCCACTTTCAGCAATGTCCACTTACAAATTGTATCAAGTCAATTTTGGAGCACAAACATAAGAGATGAAAGAATATATCCTTTTACCACATGTCCAAAATTTTGTCACAAAATATTGTACGATTACTTCCTGGTCCTTAGAAATATACTGTTCAGTCATCAATTATTTTAGTTTGCGAAAAATCAAAGAGATCACCACTTGAAAATTCACAATCTGAGATTTTGCTTCTATGATCAACTTCACTATCATCACTAGAGCATAAAATGCTATTTTCTTCTTTGTATTCATCTTCTGATTCATACAATAACTGTGAAATTCAATCTTCTGTCAATTCTCTTAGCTATTATGAACAAAATATGAAAAATTATGAATGCCCAACTCTGTTCAATAAAAGTGAAAAACAGACAATGAAGATGGTGTTCTCCAGTCTCCTTTTGTATTTCTTGAAAGAGATGGCACAATCCTCTGGACAATACAATATGAAATATGGGATAATGCAATGGCAAACTAAGGTACACAGGCTAAATCTGACCTACTTATGTATGACTGGGGAGCTAATAAAAATGATTTTTATACTTTTAAGGGTTGTTTAAAGAACATGACACAGAGGCCATTATGGGGCCCACACAACACAAAATATTTACTGTCTTACCCTGTACTAAAATGTTGGCCAACCTCTGCTCTAGCTAAGTAATTTGTCTTCCTCCCTGTTTCTTATTATTTCAACCGTTTTTTATCTGCACAGTTGAGAATAACTAATGAATAATGATGAAATAATTCTATGGATGAAACAGCAAGATGTAGGAAAAATAAGATCAATAATATCCCCAAATGCATCAGAATTATAAATAAAATTGTCTGGTAGACCCATATGGTAATTGCAAGATATAAAATGCGTTTTTAAAATATCTAAGTAAATGTTCTCTCTATTCTTTGGAAGACCTATACAAGAAAACAAAACCCGCCCTGGCCAGTTTGGCTCAGCGGTTAGAGCGTCGGCCCACGGACCAATGAGTCGTGGGTTCGATTCCAGCCAAGGGCACGTACCTCAGTTGTGGTTCATCACCAGCCCTGGTTGGGGTCGTGCAGAAGGCAACCAGTCGATGTGTCCCTCTCACATAGAGGTTTTTCTCATTCTCTTTCCCTCCCACTCTATCTGAAGATAAATGAAAAAATGTCCTCAGGTGAGGATTAAAAAAAAAAAAGAACAAAACCTATGAAGTATCAATCTTTCTAAGAGTTATAGTGCCCCCAAAAATCAACTGAAAAACTAAAGTGAGCCCAGCCAGTGTGGCTCGGTGGTTGAGCATCGACCCATGCACCAAGAGGTTGCCGGTTCGATTCCCTGTCAGGGCACATGCCCAGGTTGTGGGCCTGATAACCAGTGGGGGGCATGCAGGAGGCAGCCAGTCGATGTTCTCTTTCATCGATGTTTCTCTCCCTCTCCTTTCCTCTATCTCTCAAAATCAATAAAGGAAAAAAAAAAGAATAAACTGCTTCATGTACTCATAACTATAAACCTACTTTTGCCTCACCCTGTATTTGTAAAACCTCTTTGCTTATTTCTCTTGATATCCTGACAAGCCTGAAATGACATTTTTCATATACTAAGAGCTATGTGACTCTCAAAGGTTTATCAACAATATTTTAAACCACGTAAAATGATTTAATTATTTGACATCATAATATGTCTAGAATTTGGATGTCTGGAATGTATTTGTTTTTTGTTGTTGTTGTTTTTGGGTTTTTTTTAATCCTCACCCGAGGATATTTTTCCATTTTTTGTACAGATAGAGTGGGAGGGAGAGAGAGGAAGGGAGAGAGAGAGAGAAACATCGACGTGAAGGGACACATCGAGTGGCTGCCACCCGCACGACCAACCAGGGCCGGGGACAAACTGCAACCGAAGTACGTGCCCTTAGCGGGAACTGAACCCGGGTCTCTCTGGACTGCAGGCCGACACTCTAACCGCTGAGCCAAACTGGCCAGGGCTGGAATGTATTTGAAGAAGCTGTATTTTCCAAGTAATTTGGATGTCTGAAATCTATTTAAAGAAACCATATTTTCCAAGTATCTAAAGTCCATCACTGTGTTCTATACACTCTAAAAACCATAAAAGGTACAAAGAGTCCCTATTCTCAAGGAGCTTCCTTCCACTCTAATAGGACAGTAACAGTCACTTAACCTCTCTGCACAGGTTTCATTATCTGGGTGATTTTTAAGATCCCTCTTAGAGCTGTCTTTCTATGATTTTATAAAAATATAATAACCAGTCCTGGCCAGTTTGACTCAGCGGTTAGAGCATCGGCCTGAAGACGAGAGGATCAAGGGTTGGATTCCTGGTCAATGGTATGTACCTCAGTGGTGGGTTTAATCCCCAGCCCCAGTTAGGATCGTGCAAGAGACAACCAATTAATGTGTCTCTCTCACATCGATGTTTCTCTCTCTTTCTCCCCTTCCCTACCTCCCACTCTATCTAAAAAAAACAAAAACAATAGGAAGGTATCCTGGGGTGAGGGGAAAAAAACAGGTCTATCAAGCCCCAAAGTTGATGCTCATTACAGTTCATTTTCCTATCTGTTTCTACCAAATTCTATGGTATAAACTCTTAACTGATTTTAATTCATTAATTACTTTACAATAAGCCATCCAAGAAAGCAAGTCAAGCCCTGGCCGGTTTTGCTCAGTGGTTAGAGCGTCGGCGTGCGGTCCGGAGAGACCTGGGTTTGGTTCCCGCTAAGGGCACATGCCTCGGTTGCAGTTTGTTCCGGCCCTGGTTGAGTCGTGTGGGTGGCAACCACTCAATGTGTTTCTTTCTCTCTCTCTCTCCCTCCCACTCTATCTGAACAAAATATTGAAAAATGTCCTTGGGTGAGGATAAAAAAAAAAAAAAGAAAGCAAGTCAAGAAATGTCAGGAAGTAAAAGGTTCCCATTCTGGCTCACTAGCTTCACTTCATGTCAACAGATTAACAGTACATCTTGAGCTATTTTTTTTTTTTTTTTTGTCCTTTCTAATCCCCTTGACAAGCTCAACCCATTTTTAAAATGAAAACTTGAATAAACTTAAAAGTATCTTTCTAGTAACTAAGCTAAATGAAATGAGAGACCATATATTCATATATAGAGTGAAAGCAATGACATTAAAATATGACTGTATTTCAAAAAAGAATAGAGCAGAATTATTAAAAAAAAAAATTCAAATGATGATTTAACATTCTTTAAAAATTGCTCTTTGATATACCCTAAGAAGCCTGAAACACCAATCAGAAAAAATATATGTACCCCCATGTTCGCAGCAGCACTATTTACAATAGCTAAGATCTGGAAACAGCCCAAATGTCCATCAGTAGACGAATGGATAAAAAAGCCATGGTACATATACACAATGGAGCTGTACAAAAGATCTCTTATCCTTTGAGACAACATGGAGGGACCTGGAGAGTATTATCCTAAGCAAAACAAGCCAAACAGAGAAAGACAAGTATCATATGATCTTGCTTATTTGTGGAATATAATGAACATAACAGTCTGAGGAATGGGGTAGTCCCAGAGACATGGAAGTGGGGTACAGATTGACAATCCTCAAAAGAGGGGGTGGTGGGGGAGAGATAAACTACAGAACTTATATGCATGTATGCATGAACAATGGACATGGACAACAAAGCTGGGGACAGGGCGGGGAGGGAGGGGGAGAAGGAATCAGTGAGGGGAAAAAAAGAAACATCTGTAACAAAAATTAATTAATTAATTAATTTTTAAAAATCCTCTTTGGTGCTAAGACTTTTTTCATGGGTATTTTTTTTTTTTTTATGCTCACCTAAGGACATTTTTTGCATTTATCTTCAGATAGAGAGGGAGGGAGGGAAGGAGAGAGAGAGAAAATACTAACTAGTCTTTTCTCGTAACAGGAATATTCTACACTGCTCTACCACATTCCATTACTCTACATTATTCACATGAATATATAATCCCTCTTTCTGTAGACCACAGGTGATTTGATCAACTATTTCTTATTCTTCTATTATGTACAATCACATATTAAAGTGCTACAGACATAATAAAAATGTTAAGTTCCATATAAGTGTTATTATATTTGATCTAATGTCCTGCTCTTCCAATCTTGACCTCTTCTGTTTCCCATCTGCACATAATTCTCCACTGCAGATGTCACTGGAATTCTCCCTGACTGAGGTATTGCGCCATTTCCTCATTGTCTCTTGAAACACTTTACATTTAATTAGTTAACCTACAGAGAAAAAGAAGGTTGTTTTTTTTATAATCCTCACCCAAGAACATTTTTCCATTTTTTGTTCAGATAGAGTGGGAGGGAGAGAGAGGGAGACAGAGAGAGAAACATCAATGTGAAAGGGACACATCGAGTAGCTGCTACCCGCACGACACAGCCAGAACCGGGGACAAACTGCAACCGACGTACATGCCCTTAGCAGGAACCGAATCCAGGTCTCTCCAGACCACAGGCCAACGCTCTAATCGCTGAGCCAAACCGGCCAGGGCGAGAAAAGGAAGGTTTTAGGTTGAACTTTGTGTGTATAAAAAAGTATGTAGATGTGGCTTTAACAAACTCTTTGAATAGTATATAAACTCTGTAAATATCCACCTTTGACAAACATGCCCATAAATATGCATAAACAAGTATAAATTCTTTCAGTTACATATTTTTGGTAGAAAACTGTTTCCATCTTCCAATTCCAGAATCAAAATTGTAAACCTTAATTTAAAAGATATTGTACTCATCCATCCAGCTGGTATGGCTTAGTGGTTGAGCACAGACCCATGCATCAAGAGGTCGCCAGTTCGATTCCCGGTCAGGGCACATGCCCAGGTGTGGGCCCAATCCCCAATGGGGGGCATGCAGGAGGCAGCCAATCGATGTTCTCTCTCATCGATGTTTCCATCTATCTCTCTCTCTAAACATTAAAGAAAAAATTTTTTTTAAAGATATTGTACTCATGATGTTCCTTATATATCATGTTCTAAAACTGCATAAAGTTAACATCACATGACATTTCATAATTCATAGTTGTTACAGGTTTTATCAGATGTTTAAGTAATTATAAGTAGACACCAGCACTCAGTTGACCTACTATATGAAAGTTGAGTATTCTTATGCATCTTACAATTTAATGATATAACTAACAATAGATAGTGATTTCAGAAGCCAGGTAAGATATTTTTATTACTATTATCATAATTAGTATTATTTTTAAATACATTTTATTGGTTTTTTAAAAAATATTTTTCTTTATTGACTTTAGAGAGAGAGGAAGGTAGAGGGAGATAGAAACATTGATGAGAGAGAACTTGACTAGCTGCCTCCTGCATTGGGGATCAGGCCCACAACCTGGTCAATGCTCAACTACTGAGCCACACCAGCCAGGCTCAGGTAACATTTTTTTTCCCTCTATTGATTTTAGAGAGAGAGGAAGGGAGAGGGGGAGAGAGAGAGAGAGAGATAGAAACATCGATGAGAGCCCTGGCCAGTTTGGCTCAGCAGTTGAGCGTCGGCCTGAGGACCAGAGAATCCCGGATTCGGTTCCCGCTAGGGGCATGTACCTCCAAAGAAAAAAAAAAAGAAACATCAATGAGAGGGAACACTGATTGGCTGCCTCCTGCATGCCTGGGGATTTGGCCCACAACTTGGGCATGTGTCCTGACCGGGAATTGAACTGGTGACCTCTTAGTGCATGGGTCGGTGCTCAACCACTGAGCCATAACAGCCAGACTCAGGTAAGATATTTTAAGAAAAAATTTCAAAAAGCATTGTCAGATCTTAAAATATCTCTTTCTCCCTCTCCCTTCCTCTCTAAAGTCAATAAAGAAAAAAAAAAAAGTTACAGTGTTGATCTCTGGTACAAAGATGATGAGAATGAAGTTAAGTATCTTTAATCCAAAACAAATCACCAAGGTGTGACTTCTGCCTTAAGATTGTTGTCATTATATTCAGAATTTCACTAAGTAAATTGACATAGCAAGGAAAACTGAAGATGAAGCCCTATAAAAATGATCAAATCCAGGGTCATAATTGTTGAAAATAGATGTTTATTAACATTAATTCACAGTACATTGTGAAAAGTTATAATGCATCATTAACCGATCATAATCCCCAGAGGAACCACTAAAAAACTAATTTAAAAGAAAAATTAGAATTTTAAAAAATATCAATCCTAAAGAAGGCCACCTCAAAAAGGGAAAAAGAAACAATTGATAAAAATTTTAAAATAACCATATCAATAACAGTAAATATTTATAGACTAAGCATTTCATTTAAAAGCCAGAGACTGTAAGAAGTTAAAAAGAGGAAGCACCTAACTGTATACTGTTTATAAGAGACACACAGATTTATGTCAAAAGTAAAAATACAGAAAAAATATAGAATGTGAACATTAATCAGAAGAAAGCTGGAGAAGCTATATAAATTTTAGACGAAGTTGACTTCAACTCAAGAGCATTACCAGAGATAAAGGGCATTTCATACTGATGAAAAGGCCAATTCATCAATTTTACCCACTCATAAAATAGGAGGAAACAATTGCTATGCCTTTTATTACTTATCTTCACATGCTCAAAGAAAGCTTGGGCAATGCAATAAAGCAATAAAAAGAAATAAAAGACATAAAAAGTAGAAGGAAAGAAGTAAAAAACTTTTCCACAGACATGATTATATATATAAAAAATATCTTAGGAAACTGCTAGAACTAATAATGGAGTTTAGCAAGATATTCTATACAGTATGTTACCTTTCCTTCATCCTTCAGGATACAGTCAATATACAAAAATCAATTGTTTGACAACACCAAATGCTGGCAAGTATGTGGAACAACAGAAACTCTCATACATTGCTGGTAGAAATGCAAAATGGTACAGCCACTCTGGAAGACAGCTTGGCAGTTTCTTATAAAACTAAACATACTCTTACCCTTTGATCCAGCAATTGTACTCCTTTGGGTAAAATACATTTACCCAAAAGAGCTGAAAGACTTCTGTGCACACAAAACCTACACATGGATGTTTATAGCAGGTTTATTCATAATTGCCAAAATTTGAAAGCAACCAAGATCTCCCTCAGTAGATGAGTGGATAAACTATGGTATATCTAGACAATGGAATATTAGTCAGCACTAAAAAGAAATGAGCTATCAAGTCATGAAAAGACAATGGAAGAAACTTAAATGCATATTACTAAATGAAAGAAGCCAATCTGAAAAGGCTTCATAACTGCATGATGCCAACTATATGACACTCTTGAAAAGGCAAAACTATGGAGTCAAAGCAAAATATAAATCAGTGGCTGCTGGCAGTACAGATAGTGTGGGGCAGTGAACAGGCAGAGCACAGAGAATTATTAGGGCAGTGAAAATACTCTATGATATTATAATTATATATATCATTATACATTTGTCCAAACCCACAGAATGTAAAACAGCAAGAGTGAACCTTAAGGTAAACTGTGGACTTTGGGCGATTATGATGTGTCATTGCAGGTTCACCCTTGGTTAAAAAAAAAAAAAAAAAATGTACCATTCTGGTAAATGATATTGATAATAAGAGGGGCTATGCATATATGGGGGCAGGGATATAAAGGAAATTTATGTACCCTCTTCTCAATTTTGTTGTAAACCTAAAACTGCTCTAAAAAAAATAAAGTCTTAAATAATCAGTTGTACTCCTATGTAGTAGCAACAAAGAACTGATAATATAAAGTATGTTCAGAGATTTTGGGGGGAAAAAGCCAAAATTCCCAATAAGAAATAAGTAATCAAACCATAATTTGTCAACAAAATACTATACCAGTAAAAAAAAAAAAAAAAAAAAAAGACAGTTTGCTCTACATCAATGTTTCGGAAACTCATGTCACCTTTTCTTCTTAAATAAAAATAAAAATCTCATCTTCAATTCCTACTTCAGCCCATCTGAAGATCAAAATGTTTCTGTCACTCTCTTTACTTGGTTAATAGTAAAGGAGGGAAAAAAAAGAAGGGAAAACTAAACATTTAATACTTTTTTTACACATCAAAATTTCATAACTCATTGTGAAATAATGAATGAACATGGTAGAAACCAGCAGTTACAAACATGTGAACTATATATACATATAAAACAATGGAAAGGAATTTGAATGTAGTTTTCTCCTTAAACTTACTTTGGGAAAGAAAAAGACCTACTAACTTAAAATACTAAACTAAAAATGAGTGTCTAGATCCTAATCCCTGCTCTATTTTAGAAACACTCTAACTTTCTAGATCTCAAGAGTCTCAACAGTAAAATTAAGGATTAGAGTGAATTATTTTTCAGGCCTTCCATTCTAATATTCCATGGTTTACTGTTAGCGTACTTGGCAAGAATATGCTCTATTATTTTTTTGTTTTGTTTTTCTAATCTTCACCAGAGGACATGCTTGGGCGAGGGGGAGGGGGGACATCATTGTTAGAGAGAAACATCAGTCAGTTGCCTTCCATAGGCACTCCAACTGGGGATCAAACCCACAACCCAAGTATGTGCCCTGACCGGGAATCAAACTGGCAATCCTTCGGTATACAGGATGATGCTCAACCAAGCCACTCCAGTCCAGCCGGGCTGCTCTATTAGTTTTTTATATAGTACCATGTACACTGTACCTTTATTATGACTTTCTAAAAACTGCCATGACAATCATGATCGAGTATCCACATTCAGTACCCTTTCTGCAGGCCTCCTATAACGTTTGTTTTAAAGGACATATTAATCCAGGAATTCAGTTCCACTTCTAGGAGTTTCTTCTACAGAAATACAGTGCTAGAAAATATGTACAAAGATATATGTAAGAATATTTATTGTAGCATTGCTAGCAAAACAATTTAAAAAATGGAAACAACCCAAATTTCCATCAAAAGGTATTTGTTAAATAAAGTATGGTATTAACAAACAATATAAAACTATTTGAGAGAGAGAGATATACATACTGCCTAAAAGTCAGCAAACTTCTTCTCTGAGCAAAATATTCAATTTCTGACATCTAACCTCTTGAAAACCAGAGACTGATAATACCTACCTCTAAATGTTGTTTTTAAAGATTAAATAGATAATACACCTAAAAGCCTACCACAGTGTACTGCACAGATACTCCATGTTACCTTTCCTTCATCCCTCAATCATCACAATATCTTCCTGATTTCTCCAGCTCTATCTCAACAAGACTCCCCAAGCCATCCCAGACAGCGATTTTCCTAAAATAATATTTTAAATATCATTATCTTGTTCAAATATTTACCTACCAGGAAAAAAAAATTAAACCTCATATTGCTTGACCATCAGACAAATAGCTCCACTTTCTCTTTAAAACCTCACCCCACCCCATATACCTTCCAAATGAGAGCCTATCATGCCACCTTTAAAAGTCTCCTCCTCGCCCTGGCCAGTTTGGCTCAGCGGTTAGAGCGTCGGCCTGCGGTCCGGAGAGACTCAGGTTCCCGCTAAGGGCACGTACTTCGGTTGCAGTTTGTCCCTGGCCCTGGTTGGTCGTGCGGGTGGCAGCCACTCGATGTGTCCCTTCACGTCGATGTTTCTCTCTCTCTTCCTTCCTCTCTCTCCCTCCCACTCTATCTGTACAAAAAATGGAAAAATATCCTCGGGTGAGGATAAAAAAATAAAAAAATAAAAAGTCTCCTCCTCACTGTCACTTGAAGGTACAGTGCATACTTTTATTATTTTGATCATCTCCAAAAGCAATTCCCATCCTCCCACTTCCATCGCATCCAAACCTATTCATACTTCAAGTTCATGTTCCAGTCTAATCTTCCACAGTGCCATTTTCAGTGATCTCAGCTCTAATCTGTTTCCTTTTAACACCATCTTGGAATGATTTTAACATTCAAACACACATACAAGATCCTAATGAAAGCAATCATCGATCTGAAAAGTATGTGCTAAGAATGAAAAAGTGGCCCTGGCCAGTTTGGCTCAGCAATTAGAGCATCGGCCTGCAGACCAATGATGAGTCACGGTTTGGCTCAGCAATTAGAGCATCGGCCTGCAGACCAATGAGTCACGGGTTCAATTCTGGCCAAGGGCACGTATCTTGGTTGTGGTTCGTTCCGGCCCTGGTCAGGGTTGTGCAGAAGGCAGCCAGTCGATGTGTCTCTCTCACATGGATGTTTCTCTCTCTCTCTCTCTCTCTCTCTCTCTCTCTCTCTCTCTCTCTCTCTCTCTCCTCCCTCACACTCTATCTGAAGAAAAATAGAAAAATACCCTTGGGTGAGGATAAAAAAAAAAAAAAATACTAATAATGGCAACATCTATCATATTAAAAAAAGAAAAAAGAAATAGTGGCCCGAGCCAGGTAGCTTAGCTGGTTAGAGCATTGTCCTGATATGCCAAGGTTGCAGGTTCAATACCCCAGGGCACATACAAAAATCAACCAATAAAATCATAAATAAGTGAAACAGCAAACTGATGTTTCTCCCTCTGTCTCTGTCACTGTCTCTTCCCCTCCCTCTCTCTCTAAAATCAACATTTAAAAAAGGATGAAGTAGTCTGGCCAGTGTGGCCCACTGGCTGGCTGAGCGTCAACCCACGCACCAAGAGGCTGCTGGTTTGATTCCTAGTCAGGGCACATGCCCAGGTTGTAAGCCAGATTCCCAGTGAGGGGCATCCAGGAGGCGGCCAATCAATGTTCTCTCTCTGATGTTACTATCTTTCTCTCCCTTTCCCTTCTTCTCTCTCTAAAATCAACAAAGAAAAATTTTTAAAAATAAATAAAATGTCAATGGAAAATATCCTTGGGTGAGGATTAACAAAAAATAAACAAACAAATCAAGGTATAGCAAAAGACCTATAGCTACCCACTTTTTTATTTTATTTTTTTTATTCCTCACCTGAGGATATCTTTACTTTAATCTTCAGATAGATCTGGAGGGAGAGAGGGAGGAAGAGAGAGAGAAACATCAATGTGAGAGAGGCACATCGATTGGTTGCCACCTGCAGAATCCCAACCGGGGCCGGGGATGAACAGCAACCAAAATACGTGCCCTTGGCCGGAAACAATCCCAGGACTTGCTGGTCCATGGGGGACGCTCTTACCGCTGAGCCATATCAGCCAAGGCTACCCACTTTCTAAAATAGAAGATCCAGCCCTGGCCGGTTTGGCTCAGCGATAGAGCATCGGCCTGTGGTCCAGAGAGACCCGGGTTCGGTTTCCGCTAAGGGCGCATACCTCGGATGCAGTTTGTCCCCGACCCAAGTTGGTCGTGCGGGTGGCAGCCACCCGATGTGTCCTTCACGTTGATGTTGCTCTCTCTCTCTCTTACTCTCTCTCCCTCCCACTCTATCTGAACAAAAAATAAATAAATAAATAAAATAGAAGATCCATACAAACACACTTTAATTTTGTCAATCCTTTCATGTGCTAATTTGAGTTTGCCTACAGTTCATATGAAGCAAAGATCTCTCTACATAAAACTGCCTGCCAGTAGTTACTAATTTTTACTAAATGGTTGGTTAAATGTCTCTTCTACATTATAAAGACCAAGGGCAATATCTAAAGACAAATAATAAGAGGTTCAGTTATACTTCTCAAATTCTCTAACCACCACATTTTATCTCCTAAGCTTGTGCCTTTATTAGGAATTCTATTTCCCACACTGGGGGAGAAGAAAGGAAATTTCTTTTGTTTCTTAATATCAAACCCTTCCTTTTATATTTTCTTTTTAAATATGTTTTTACTGATTTTAGAGGGAGAAGGAGAGAGAGAGAGAGAAACCTAGATTGGTTGCCTCCCGCATGCACCCTGCATGTGCAGACGGGCAATAGAACCTGCGACCCTTCATTGCATGAGACAGCACTCAACCAACTGAACCACACTGGCCAGGGCCTTCCATTTATATTTTCAAGTTGAGTCCTATCCTAGTTCTTACCCATCACCCAGGTTGTTCCAGCATCAGCCAAAGCACGTATTTATCGTAACTCCTTTTCAGAACCCAAAAGTCACAAAGAATTTTCTCTCAAACAAAATAACTCACAGTAACTAGTTTCAAGACCCCCATACCAACTGCAATTCTCCCAACAGCGCTCTCTTGATCTTCCTTAACCAATACTGTGCGTGAAAGTTAGGAAAACTGTTCATCATCCAGCAGAGAACTGCAAATGCTGCCAACGTTTCTAAACATGAAATCTGCTTCACCTAAACTTCTACCCACCCTACTCCCATAAAATTCCACTAGATTTGTTACTTAATAAATTCTCAGTTCTATCACAACTGCCTAAGTTACTTCAGAGTGTCGCTCTCCCACCCTAATGTGCTTGTTAGTTAGATTTGCTCAATAGAACTTGTAAAGGGCACCTCAAAGGTTCAAAAATATTCATCTGGCCCTGGCCGGTTTGGCTCAGCGGTTGGTGCATCGGCCTGCGGTACAGAGAGACCCGGGTTCGGTTCCCGCTAAGGGCACGTACCTAGGTTGCAGTTTGTCCCCGGCCCTGGTTGGTCGTGTGGGTGGCAGCCACTCAATGTGTCCCTTCACATCGATGTTTCTCTCTCTCTCTCTCTTCTTCACTCTCCCTCCCGCTCTATCTGAACAAAAACTGGAAAAAATGTCCTTGGGTGAGGATAAAAAAAAAAAAATATTCATCTGTTAAGTCCATCTATTCAGATGATATTTGAGAATATTTTCCCCGAGGATATTTTTCCATTGATTTTCAGATAGAGTGGAAGGGAGGGAGGGAAAGAGAGAAACATCCATTGGTGAGAGAGACACATCGATTGGTTGCCTCCCACACAGGGCTGGGGATTACACCTGCAACCCAGGTACGTGCCCTTGACTGGAAATCAAACCCGAGACTCTTCGGTCTGCGGGCCAATGCTTTAATGACTGAGCTAAGCAGGCCAGGGCCCATCTATTTTTATATTTTAAAAAATACACCATTCCCTAATACAAATAACAAGTCTAATCTTCTACATAAATTAAGAAGAATTTTAATATAACATCTAAAAAGTGCTTTCCCAAAACATACTATGAAAAAAATATATTTAACAGTATCTACCAGCCCTGGCCGGTTTGGCTCAGCGGTTAAAGCGTTGGCCTGCGGTCCAGAGAGACCCGGGTTCGGTTCCCGCTAAGGGCATGTACCTCGGTTGCAGTTTGTCCCTGGCCCTGGTTGGGTCATGTGGGTGGCAGCCACTCGATGTGTCCCTTTCACATCGATGTTTCTCTCTCTCTCTCCTTCCCACTCTATCTGTACAAAAAATGGAAAAATGTCCCCGGGTGAGGATAGAAAAAAACAGCATCTACCATTCGTTTAATGTTGATATGCACTAAGTATTTTAAGCTGCTTTATTTCTCTTTAATAAAGCATGTAATGTATCCATTATAAACACTACATTCAAATTTTGTTTTCATAGAATAAAGCTATCAATAACCATGTTATAATGAAAATGATGAGAAACAATTTATTTTTAAAAGTCAGGAAAATAGCCTGGCCAGTGTGGCTCAGTGGTTGAGTGTCGATCCATGCATCATGAGGTCGCCAGTTCGATTCCCGGTCAGAGCACACATGCCCAGATTGTGGGCCCGATCCCCAGTGGGGAGCATGCAGGAGGTGGCCAATCAATGTTCTCTCTCTCCCTTCCTCTATGTCTCTAAAATCAATAAAGAAAATAATTTTAAAAAAAAAAAGGCAGGAGAATAAAAGAACTAGTCATTATCATAATGGAAATAAAACCATTATCCCATACTAGATCAAGTATTACTCTGGGATTAGGGTTTGGACTGTTTTATCTAACTCTACAGCAGAAAACATCTCAGAGTAAGTATCATTGTTAAAGTTTTGGTTAGAGCAATTTGATGAACTCATTTTTGATTGCTGAATATTTTCCAGATTGGATGAATGCTGAACTTTTTCCAGATTGGATGAATTATCTTATGATCATAGAATGCACCCACTTCTAACCCCTAACCTTTTCAGTGTAACAAGAGAAAAGGGAAACGACAAAGACAATGCAAAAAAGACAGGAGAAAGCACTTTTCACTATTCCCAAAGCATCTCCTGCAGGGCATATAGTGATGATCATCCATAAAAAAGAGATGTTGTATCACTTTCCCAACTCAAAATGTTGGCAGATCTAGGGCAAAGCAAGAGAAGGTGCGGTGGGGACGATTAAACTGACAATTTAATTGGTATGTCTCCAAAAACTCATTAGTTAGGAGTTTGGTCTACTGGCTGGTAGCCAATATTAACCTTAATCAGTGTGTATGAGTTTGGGTACAAAATAAACCTACACTTTCCAACTGTGTAAAGGTCAACAGCTGACTGACTACTAGCCTGCTGCTATACAAACAAATCAACCACTTTATATTTAAGGCGCTGCTATCATGTTCCACAGGATCCTCAAACTCAAAGCAAAAACATTTCTCTCTTCCCCCAAATTAGTTGCTCCTCTTCCTGTATTGCTTATTACTATTTACCAGTGTCCATCTAATCTACTAGCATGTTTTCAACTAGTGATTTATGGTTTAAAAAAATCATGGCATCTAATTCCATTTCTTTCTTTCCCTTTTAAATCAATACAAGAATACTCACAAATATTCATTTATGTACGCTTATAATAAATATTCATTTGTATATGTTTATATTTTACTTTAAAATACAGCATTTTAAGAGCTCCCTAAAGAAAATGAGGTGAACATGCTTGATAATAGATGTAGAAAAACGTGTCATAACTTCACCTTTTCAACAAATGGTACTGGAAAAGTTTGATACCCACTGGCAAATTTAAATAAATAAAATTGAACTTCAATCCATACTCTGCAGTAAAAATTCACATTGGATCCTAGACATAAATGTAAAATCTAAAACTAAAAAAACTTCTAGGATAAAACCTTTGTGACCTTGCATTAAGCAAAAATTTCTTACAACACCAAAAGCACAATCTAGAAAACAACAAATTGAAAAACTGGACTTCATCAAAATTAAAAACTTCCAAAGATACTGTTAAAAGACAGCCCTAGCCCTGGCCGGTTTGGCTCAGTGGTTAGAGCGTTGGCCTGCGGTCCTGAGAGACCCGAGTTCAGTTCCTGCTAAGGGCATATACCTCGGTTGCAGTTTGTCCCCGGCCCTGCGGGAGGCAGCCACTCGATGTGTCCCTTTCCTGTCGATGTTTCTCTCTCTTTTTCTTCCTCTTTCCCTCCCACTCTATCTGAACAAAAAATGGAAAAATGTCCTCGGGTGAGGATTAAAAAAAAAAAAAAACCCACAAAAGACAAGCCAGCCCTGGCCAGTTTGGCTCAGCAGTTAAGCACCGGCCTGCAGACCAGAGAGTCCCAAGTTCAGTTCCAGCTAGGGGCACGTACCACCCAAAAAAAAAAAAAAAGACAAGCCAGCTCTCGGGTCCTCGCTTCCAAGATGACCAAGAAAAGAAGGAACCACGGTCGTGCCCAAAAAGGCCGCGGCCATATGCAGCCTATTCGTTGCACCAACTGCACCCCATGCGTGCCCAAGGACAAGGCCATTAAGAAGTTCGTCATTCGAAACATAGTAGAGGCCTCCAGCATTAGGGACATTTCCGAAGCAAGTGTCTTCGATGCCTATGTGCTTCCCAAGCACCTTTATTTTATGAGCCCAAACTGGAAACTATATTACTGTGTGAGCTGTCCCATTCACAGCAAGGTAGTCAGGAATCGTTCTTGTGAAGCCCGGAAGGACCAAACACCCCCACCTCGGTTTAGACCTGCGGGTGCTGCCCCATGACCTCCACCAAAGCCCATGTAAGAAGCTAAGTTCTTAATGACTAAAGAAAAGTTCTCCGGAAAAAAATAAATGGAAATTGTACTTTGAAAATAAAAAAGACAAGCCAAAGACCAGAAAAAAATATTTTCAAATCCTATCTTATAAAGAACTTGTACTGGGAATATATATAGAACTCTCAAAACCCAGTAAGAAAACAACCCAATTTTAAAAACAGGCAAAAGATTTTAACAGACACTTCACCAAGGAAGATATATAGACAGCAAATAAGGACATGAAAAAAAAGCTCAATATTATCAGTCATTAGGGAAATGCAAATTTAAAATACAACGGGAGACCACTACACACCTAGTATAATGCCTAAAACTAACCAAACAAGTGTTGGCAAGGACGTGGAGGAATTAGAACCTTCATGAATTGCTGATTTAAACGTAAAATGGAATAACCATATTGCAAAATAGTTTGTCAGTTTCTTAAAAAGTTATATATACAAGTACCATATGATCCAGCCACTGCACTCCTAGGTATTTACCCAAGAGAAATGGAAACATATGTCCATACAAAGATGAACACAAATGTTCCTGGCACCTTTATTTTATGAGCCCAAACTGGAAACAATATATATGTCCATCAACTGGTAAATGGATAAACAAGTTGTGGTGGAACTGCCCAACAATAAAAAGGAATGAATTAGCCTGGCTGGTGTGGCTCAGTGGTTGAGCATCAACCCACACACCAAGAAGTTGCCAGTTTGATTCCCAGTCAGGGTACATGCCCAGGTTGTGGGCCAAATTCCCAGTGGGGGACATACAGGAGGCAGCCAATCAATGCCCTGTCTCACCAATATTTTTATCTCTTCCTCTTCCTTCCTCTCTCTAAAATCAATAAAGAAAAAAATTAAAAAAAAAAAAAAAAAAAGGAATGAGTTACTGGTAGATAGAATATGATTCTAAAATAATTATGCTGAGTGAAAAAAGGCAGCCAAAAAAAGGGTATATATTGAATTTCATTTATATCAAACTCTAGAAAATGCTAAGTATTTTATAGTGACAGAACGATTAGTAGTTGGCAAGGGTAAAGGAGGAGATAGGAGAAGAGATTACAAAGGAACCCTAGGAAACGTTTAGGGGTGATAGATATGTTCATTATCTTGACTGTGATGATGGTTTTACAGGTGCATACATATATTAAGATTTTCAAACTGTATACTTTAAATATTTTCAGTTTATTCAATTATAACTCAATAAAGCTGTTAAAATTGTTTAAAAAAACAAAAAACAAAAACAAAGGATAAGTCATGAAATATCAGTATCTGCCAAAAAAAGTAAACTGATTAATGAAAATTAGGTCCAATGGATCTTGACGGTATACCAATGGTTGGAACACATCAATATAAATACACACACACACACACATCCATTATTTCATAATTCTTTTTAAAAAACTGATTACTTCTGAAGGTTAGAAATCAACTCACTTTTTTCAATATTGGTATATAAAGAAAAAGAATTAAGCATTTATTCTGCCTTTTCTTAAGGACTCTACTCCTGGGTAACCAAACAGTAGATATCCAAGTGTCTCTTTACAGCTAACAAATAAAATGACAGAATTGGAATATTATAATTTTGAACCCCTAATGAATTAACAAATCTAGGCATTGCATGTAAATGGCTGCTAATTTGACAAAAAGAGAGATAACTATAGGTGTAGTTCCTAATCAAAGAATACACACTACCTATATTAAGCCTCACCCAAAATTCTTAAAATAAATTAGAATGAAAACTCTAAATCAAACCTCTAAATCCAACTAACTTACTGAAAATAGAGAATACAGAATACATTAAATCTTTTTTATAAACAACAATACAAGGACCTTACAAAGACGCTGAATGAAAGTAGTTAAAAATTTTAAAATGTATAAAAATAAAACTGCTGAGCCCTGGCCAGTTTTCTCAGTGGTTAGAGCATCGGCCTACGGTCCAGAGACCCGGGTTTGGTTCCCGCTAAGGGCACGTACCTCAGTTGCAGTCTGTCCTTCGCTCTGGTTGGGTCTTGTGGGAGGCAGCCACTCGATGTGTCTCTTTCACATCAATGTTTCTCTCTCTCTCTCTTCCTCTCTCTCCCTCCCACTCTTTCTGAACCAAAAATGGAAAAATGTCCTCGGGTGAGGATAAAAAAAAAAAAAAAACCAACTGCTGAGATCACTGGAAATCTGAACACTGATTATATAATCAATACTAAGGAATTATTGTTTGTTTTTAGGTGTGATGACATATAATAGTGATGTTTTTTTTTTAAACCTGGTCTTTTATGGACACATATTAATACATTTACAGATTACATTTTGTGATTCTGGAATCTGCTTCCAAATAACATAAGAATGTGGAAATATAAATGAAAAACATTATCCATGAGTAGGCTATTTCTGAATTTGGATTTGGTCTGCTTTTGTATATGCTTGAATTTTCTATAATGAAAAGTTTTTTAAAATAAGATACTTTGTTGAATTTACCTTGTGACTTTTTTATGTACATAGATGTAAAAGTCCAAAATTAAAAAAAACTGACTTAGGCCAAATTTCCTCTCTCAGATTGTCCATGTCCTTTTTGATATGATGGTTATATTAGTTTCAAAATATAAACTGGTTAACTTTGCCTCTTTTCTTATTGTCTGACAGTTTGTAAAAGATAAGAACAATTTGTTTCATAAGGCTTTAGTTGAACTTTATAAAAACTGTTTGGGCCTAATAACTGCTTGTGGAAGGGAGAGGTATATATATATTTTTTATTTTATTTTATTTTATTTTATCCTCACCCGAGGACATTTTTTGTTCAGATAGAGAGGGAGGGAGAGAGAGGAAGAGAGAGAGAGAGAAACATTGACGTGAAGGGACACATCGAGTGGCTGCCACCCGCACGACCAACCAGGGCCGGGGACAAACTGCAACCGAGGTACGTGCCCTTAGCGGGAACCGAACCCGGGTCTCTCGGGACCGCAGGCCAACGCTCTAACCGCTGAGCCAAACCGGCCAGGTCGAGAGGTATATTTTTAATTACTGATTTGAACTTTTTTACTGGTATCTATTCAGGATTTTAAAATTTATTGTTTAGTCAGTTTTCAGTATATTTTGTTGAAAAATAGGCAATTTTATCCGTTCCTTTATCATTCTCAAATATATTGGCATAAAATTCCTCATAAACGTTAATCTCTACTATAGTTACATCACCATTTTTACATTTTTGTTTTTCAAGCTCACCCAAGGATACTTTTTTCCCTTTTTATCTTCAGATAGAGTGGGGAAGAGAAAAAGAGAAACGTCAACGTGAGAGAGACACATCGACTGGTTGCCTCCTGCACGACTTCAGCCAGGGCCAGGGACCGAATTGCAACCAAGGTATGTGCTCTTGACCAGAATCGAACCCACGGCCAGGCCCCTTTTAGTCCCCGGGCCAATGCTCTACCACTGAGCCAAACCGGCCAGGGTCCCATTTTAACATTTTTTTAAAAAAAAATTTTAATTGATTTTTAGAGAGAGAGGAAGGGAGAGGAAAAGAGAGAGCGCAACATTGATCAGCTGCCTCCTACACATCCCCTACCAGGGATCATGCCTGAAACCCTGGGCATATGCCTGCACCAGCAAACTTTCGGTGCATGAGACAACACAACCAACTGAGCCACACCAGCCACAGCAATTTTTACATTTTTATTATTTACTTTTTTTCCTTTACTGATTTTAGAGAGAGAAGAAGGGAGAGGGAGAGAGAGACAGAAACATCAATGAGAGAGAATATCAGCTGGCTGCCTCCTACATACCCCGCACTGGGGATCCAGCCCACAACCTCAACATGTGTCCTCACTAGGAATCGAACTGGCGACCTCTTGATGCATGGGTTGACACTCAACCACTGATCCACACCAGCTGGGCCAATTTTTACATTTTTTTTTTATCCTCACCCGAGAACAGTTTTCCATTTTTTGTTCAGGTAGAGTGGGAGGGGGAGAGAGGAACAGAGAGAGAGAGAGAAACATGGATTTGAAAGGGACACATCGAGTGGCTGCCACCCGCACGACCAACCAGGGCCAAGGACAAACTGCAACCCAGGTACGCGCCCTTAGCGGGAACCGAACCCGGGTCTCTCTGGACCACAAGCCAACGCTCTAACCGCTGATCCAAACCGGCCAGGGCCAATTTTTACATTTTTAGTAACATTATTTGTGCCTTCTTTTTCCTCAATACATCTTTTCAGTAGTTCATCATTAGTCTTTTCAAAGAATCAGATTTTTATTTCATTAAGCCCCTATGTTGTTTCTTTGCTTTCTGTCATTAATTTTTATCCCTAGTATTATTATTTTCTTCTGCTTTCTTTGAGTTACTTAAGTTAAATACTTAGCTCACTCATTCCAATCTCTCTTTTAAATTTATGTATTTAAGCCTATGAGTCTCTCTCTTTAGCTCTACTTTACCTGCATTCAAAGGGTTTGATGTGTGATGGGAATTTTTTTGTTTATTTGTTTTGGTTTCTGTAGTTTATTTTCCATGATCATTTCTTCTACAACCCATGAATTCTTTTTATATTTCTAAATATGACAATGTTTTATCTTTTGATTTGTAATTATATTGCATTGTGGGTTGTATAATGATTGCCATTTCCTGCAGTGTGCTTTGTGACTTGATATGTGACATTTCATAAATGTTCTGTGTACTTAAAAATGTATACAGTATGGGGCAAAAGTAGGTTTACAGTTGTTTGTATGGAAAATAATACAATAAGTAATAATTCAAGAATAAACTGTTTCAAGTAGTCACAACTATAAATCTACTTTTGTCCCACCCTGTACGACCTAATTATCAGCTGCAGAGTTCTATAAACATCCATCAGCTCAAGCCTGTTAACTCATTTATTCAAATATTCCTTCTTTACTAATAATCTACTTGATACATTAATTATCAAGACGTCTATTAAAATTTTAAGGCTGTTCATTTATCATTGTCAATATTTTTTCTTTAT